GTAAAGTTCTGCAAATGTTTTATAAAAAAAAATCTCACCAAATATGAAAATTTCTAGTATTGTCTAATTTTTAACTTTTTATTTTACTTAAACGTGGAAAAAAATTTATCGTCAGCTTAATTTTAATGTTCTTATTAATGCTTTTCTAACTATTTTTTTCAATGTATTCGTTAAACATAATGATCATTTTATATACAAGCTATTAAAAAAACTTTTATCAGTCAAATTATTCATCCACGTACTTTCATTTTATGATAAAAACAAAACCTATTTTTATCATTTTTTGAGTATATGAAAAAGGAAAGTAAAGTTCGATGGTTTTAATTTTTATTAAGGAAAACGAAATAAGAAATATTTAAAAATAAAACAAAGTAAGAAGAGTTTTAATTTTTTATATGAGACATTTTTTATTTTAATTTTTTAATCTCAAGAATGAAATTGAAAAATTAAATAAAGAAATAAATAAGGAAACGAGTACGAATAAACATAATAGAGTGATTAATTGGTAGCTTATATCATAATTAAACTAATCCCACGTGCCAATTTATCCCTAGGAGATAAAAGTAGCAGGTATATATATTCACATCATGGAAATTTCGGTATTTTTTTTTTGCTTTATTAAAAAGGAATTGGAATTAAAACTCAAATAACTTATAATTTGATTAATTTGATTAATTTGATTATACGATAAAATTTTAACTCATAATTACCAAACTAGGAATTCTTACGATAAAAGTTATGGATTAAATATTTTTTGGTTCATTCGCCTTTTAATTTTTCTGTTTTATTTTATTATTATTGTTATTAGTTTTATTAACATTTTTCCTATTTAAAGATAAAAATATGCCTAAAATGATGTTTGTAGTGATGGAATTATGATATCATCCCAGGTCAGGTAAAAACGTGATCTTAAGTCAATAAATAATGGAGGATGTATTTTTTTATAAACTAAATTAACATGAAAATACAAATTATTCAATTTGTTTTTAGTTCTAAAATAATAGTATAACTACAACATTAATATCTTAAATATAAAAAGATTTGTTATATAAAATAAAATAAGATCTTATTTGAATTTAAAATAAAAGCATACTAAAAAAAATAATTTATAAAATTTAATTTAACTTTTTAAAAGTTATAGAAAATCTTATAATTGAAAAAAAATATGATTCAATTTAAAATTGAATTTTAAAACAATAATATATTTACATATCAATCTTTCTTTTTAATGTGTTAAATAAATATAAATGTGTATCATCTTATTATTATAAGAAAACTAATATAAAAATAATAATATATATATATATATTAAATTTAATATACATATTTTCGTACTCCATTTTAAAAAGATATATATATACATTGACTATGTCAAACTACCTACCACCTAACTATATCTTAAAAGAAAAAAAAAATGATGACTGGAAAAATAAAGTTCCTAAATCTACTCAACAGAAGTTACAGAATAAACAACATTTTTGGTGTCGCTGATGGCAGCAGATGTAGAATTAACCTTTGGTGAAGTTGTAGAGTTGCTTCCACCTTGTAACTTGATATTGATCCCAAAACATAAAATGTTGAATGGTAATTAGGTTAAGTTGTTGTAGGTTGTATTACTTTCGCCATGGTCTGACAAAAAAGAGCACGACGAACAACACAATTGCCAGAAGAAGGATAATAGCACAGTAGCCCCATTTACGGTGTTTTTTTTGCTCCTTCCTTGCAGTTTCCAGATTCTGAGTCCCATTCCTGACGAAGGAGTTTGTTCTTGCGACCTGGCTCTCTATGTCATCCAATTGCTCCCCTTGAGATTGAATCAGCACTGCCATGTCAAGGAACACCTGGTGCAACTCCTTCAGATTCCTCTCTAACTCTTTCATCCCATTATGCCTCTCTTTTATTTCATTAATACTCTCCTCAATTCTTCCTCTACCCTCCTCAATCGCTCTTTCTACTAAATTCTCACTCTCACCGGAAGAGATCAAGAGGTCCAGGGTTTCGTCGTCGGGATTTTTGCCCGTCACGGTGAAATATTGGCGCTGGACGGTCTCACGGTGTTCTGCATTTATCTGCTCACGGAGTTTATTGAAGCCGTCCAAGGAGTCCTTCAGCTTCTTCCTCAGGGAGAACACCAAGGAGGTTCGGGACCGGTCGGAGGACGAACCCGGTCCACAACCAGGGAGGCTCCGGTTGTCGGCGTTGGCTCGTTCAAGCGTCTCCAACTTGAACCTGATGACCTTCGCGGTCTCCAGAGCAAGTGCCACGTCAGCTTCCATGGCGAAGCGATGGTCCTTCACGGCTTTACCATTGTGAAGGGTCTTGCCTTGTTCGTGAGACCTCTTCAGATTCTGCTTCAACCGCTCCACCTCGTTCAGCTCTTCCGTTATTGCTTCCACGTTGCCGAAGTACGTGGCCAGGCTCGTTGCTCCATCGTCGTCGTCGCAGCCTGCCATCTCGATGACACTGTGAGCCGACGATGGCGGAAGTCGGTTGCTGCGGCAGGGGGAGGTGGTGGACAACAAGTCGTGCATTATTGTTTCACGTGAGCGATTTCGTGATTTCACTTTAAATGAAGTTCAGAAAGTGTTATGATAAAAAGAGAATTGAGAAAGAAAGAGTTTATGATAATTAATAAGAAGAAAATATATAAGATTGGAGAAGAAGATAAAGGAAATAGATAATTAAAATTGGGTTACATTAGATCAAATAGATGGCAGATATTTCTGTTTTTATTTGTTTTTTCCTTTTGAAATAATAACAGATATAATCTGATTTATTTTGAAAAGGTTTGACGGCAATAAAGCATATTACAATAATACATATGAAAATATCTGAAAAATTCAATTTCATCTTTTAGATAAATATTGTCATAACTTTTAAATTCAAAAGTTACTTTGAGAGAAAAGATATTAATGTAAATCCAAATTCACCTATTATTATTTTTAAATTGTAATGTGTTTTTGTTCAAATTTATATGATTAAACTTGTTTTATATCTTCCCATTTATTTATTTTGTTAACTTAATAAGAGTACGAATTTTAAAAATAATAGTTTGTGCCATCATTTACATTATTTTATTTATTTATAAGGGAAAATTTGAAGTTATGGGCCAATTAAAGAGTATGCAGTATCACAAAGAAGATACGCAAAATAACAGAGTAAAAATAATAAATAATTTTTGTATTGTTATGACAATATTATTAATATTATTTATTTCTTTTCTCTTCCTTTTTTATTTATTAAGCATGTGAAGCAGTCTTTTTCACTTATTATCTATTTCTATTTTTTTTTCTTTCTTAAATCTTTTTCCTATATTTTATCTAATACAAAGAACCTTAAAAATCAGGTGTGATGTATCAAATTAATGGATATTTTTTACATGATATGAATAACCATACACATGATTTGTGTAGATGGTGGACTTCAAAGTGAAAATAATTAATAGGTATGTTTTAGATGTCATATGGTAAACATGTAATATTTAGTTTAAATGCAATAGAAAAAATATATATAAGAAGAAAATAAAAATAAAGGTAGTTTATAATAAAAGAGATAAAAGTAATATTTTTTATTATAATATTATTTTATTTTATTTTCATTTATCATACAACTTTTATAATAGATGAGATACCTTCTAACATGAAAAAAAAATGGCCAAATTATGAAACTATGGTGACTTTAACCCACATTTCACTTATTTCGATTGGAAAAAACCACTGCAGAACTTTTCTTTCTGCATTTCACCTCACTGAGCATAGGGTAGAAGATCACCTGCCATGCATAATATTGCATTAATGAACAGCAATAAAAGCTAAACTAAAACAACAACAAAATTAATTGTTCTACTAAAAAAGCACATTTTTTCTTTTATATGTAACATTTCTATGTACATTTGTGACTGATTTAAGTGAGTCTTATTTCCTATTTTTATTGTGAATTTTGCATAAATGCTATCTAGTGATAAAAATACACGTTGCTGATATTTGTCAAATATAAATAATTGAATTCATTCTGATTGTTTAATCTTTCATGTCATCTCTTCTTACCAACAAATAACATACGAAAAGAAATGTCAAATAATAAATTAGTAATATCCTCCCTATACATTTATCAATATTTGAATTTTTTGCTATAATAAACCACCCATAACATATACACGTAACGTATTACTATTTTTAATTAAAAAAAATTGAACTCCAATATTAGAGAGTTTACAGTAACTCCTGCACTGCTTATAAATAAAGTCACCTTTCACATACTTTTTATCTATTCTTCCCATTCTTTTATGTGCCATAAAAAGTCTATCATTTTTTTTGTCATCCTTCTTATTTTCAAATGAAGGGATCGTCTATGATGTGAATTATGTAAGAAATATATGAAACATTCAGTTATTTAAATCGAAATTATAATCATTCAATATTCATGCATTTTATCAAAAAAAAAAGATCCTCTAACTCATTCTTTTACTATTCAACTATATCAATTTTGTAAACTTTATCGCACAACTTCTTTACAAGTTTTATTATGGTATTTTTTTAATTTTCTCACATTATACCAATTCATTAAATATATAACAATGTCGAAGCGTTAAAGAAAAAGAATTATAATTAAAACATCAAAACCTCTTTTTTGTGAAAAGTTAAGAAACGATGTCATTTCTAATATATTGGTAATACGTTAACATGTCATTATTCATTAAAAGAATCGGTAAATTAAAAAATATGATGCTAAAACACTCAATTATGTTGAATAAAAAAAGTAATGCATTATAGAAGCGGGAGATTTGTTCAAATTTAAATGATGATGATGATGATAAAGTAGAGACTACCTTTTGCAAAATGATATGATGGTTGGCTTTTTATTTTTCAACTCCAACAGGGGAAACCTAGTTCCCACTCAAACTCATGAGTAATGCAATTAACCTCATCAACTGAGTTCAGTTTAAAGCCAATACGCTACGAAACTTGTGTTAACACTTAATAAAAGAAATAATGCCATTATAAAAATAAAATGCCATATCCTCTAAATATTGGAATAATTTTGTTACAGTTTAGTAAAGGCTTCCAGTCTTACAACTTTGCAAGACTCAAACTAAGCAATCTGAGCTGCTTGGATGATATGTAGAAAAATGAGAAAGAATAATTGCCCTTAACTTCCATTTAGTACGCTGAAAACATTTGGTGCAATGCAAGTGTAACCAATTCTTGAGCTGGTGACGGGTTACCCCCCTACAGGGATAAGGGACTTAAAACTGTGTCCACTCTGCAATTCTATCCATCCATACTTAACCGCGGGGCATGCAAAAAATTGTTAAGGCTTCGTAAAAACACTTTCTTTTTTTCTCAAACTTGGCCAGTACAAATACGCCAGCCAACCTGATCGATGAATTGTAGGTTGCCACCGTCCTTATTTGTTCGGATAAAAAAGTTGATTTCACCACTTTATCCACCAAACTTTTACACTGCTCCTAGTGCCTAAAGACATTTTAACAATACATGGAAATGTATATAATATATGTACAGCCCCGGCTACAACTCATCTAGATTCTAGCATGAGATAAACATACAGCAAAAACATTTACAAACTTCTCAAATGGACTGGAGCACGGTAAGATAGTATTTATACCCCTGGCACTGGCCTGAATGCTGCCTCTTTTCATCACTATCTCCCTGTCCATTGGATGGAAGTTTCCAATTCAAAACGTAATTTGACAGGTCATATGTTCCAGGAGAGAATACACAGATCTGAAGAGGAATTTCTACCGAGGACATAGCCTCAATGTTGAGATGGGTTGAGCTTGATCCAGACCAAATATATGAGGAGGCACTTTCCAATGATAGTGCTTTTCCTGGTTGGGTTTCAAGAGCATTTGAGGCGACTTTGAGTTCATTCACTGGGGCGATATCGTGCCATCCTGCTTGGTTATCGGTAGTTGCAGATTGAACCACATTTACATTGTTTATCTGTCCACTATTACCCGCTGAATCTAAGGTGTCAATGCGTACAAAAGTAGTGGCACCAGATGAATTGTGAATATGCATCTTCATATTTATTTCACAGAATGATGCAGAGAAGTCATGATGCATGGTTTGAGGTCCATCCACTAGCCATGAAATGGGACCCGTGCTAGCAGTACTAACAGAAGACAGAAATGTATTAAGATAATGCCACTAAAGGACTAGTAAATAACACACATGGATATTTAAAATTTATTATGAAGTCAAAATTAGAAGCATTATGTGTGGAAGAAATATACCTGAAATGGCACGCGTGATGGGACATTACAGACGAAGAAGTGGAGAAACCAGGATCGTCGCTACTCCTAAATGGCCGATAGATTAATACAAAATCCACAGTATTTAAGTCACCCTGAGCATACAAACAGATGAAGCTCGTATCAGTAAAAGGAGATAAAAACAATAAAGAGTGTCAAGACTTTTGTTACAGTCAATAGTAAATGTCCTATGACACTGGCAAACAAATTTGTCCTTTAAACTTTCAAATTCCTAAAACCTACAACCTAAGCATGTTGCAGTAAGTGACATAAAAAAAAAAAATCTTATATTTGTACTGATATTCAATTTGAAATATATATCTTCCTAGTTAGTTAACCAACAAAAAAAAAGTTAAATGTAGTAAAATATGAAAAATAGATAAAAATGTTCTCTTAGCTATTGAAATTGATACTCGTTTTGTCCTACTTGTTGAGGCCTCACTATGATCAAATAGGATGACAAAACATGTATGAACTATGAAAAATAATTAAAACAAAAAAGGGTAAGGAAGCAAAGAAACTATTAGTGCAGTAGCACGACCCTATCCTTGTGCATATCAGATATGCCAGTACCATTGAAGCAACCACGGGCTGAGAATGGAAGAAGATAAATATAACCCAATGTAAATTTATGGGTGTGAAATAATAGAGAAGATTAGGAGANTAAACTTTATCGCACAACTTCTTTACAAGTTTTATTATGGTATTTTTTTAATTTTCTCACATTATACCAATTCATTAAATATATAACAATGTCGAAGCGTTAAAGAAAAAGAATTATAATTAAAACATCAAAACCTCTTTTTTGTGAAAAGTTAAGAAACGATGTCATTTCTAATATATTGGTAATACGTTAACATGTCATTATTCATTAAAAGAATCGGTAAATTAAAAAATATGATGCTAAAACACTCAATTATGTTGAATAAAAAAAGTAATGCATTATAGAAGCGGGAGATTTGTTCTAATTTAAATGATGATGATGATGATAAAGTAGAGACTACCTTTCGCAAAATGATATGATGGTTGGCTTTTTATTTTTCAACTCACAACAGGGGAAACCTAGTTCTCACTCAAATTCATGAGTAATGCAATTAACCTCATCAACTGAGTTCTGTTTAAAGCCAATACGCTACGAAACTTGTGTTAACACTTAATAAAAGAAATAATGCCATTATAAAAATAAAATGCCATATCCTCTAAATATTGGAATAATTTTGTTACAGTTTAGTAAAGGCTTCCAGTCTTACAACTTTGCAAGACTCAAACTAAGCAATCTGAGCTGCTTGGATGATATGTAGAAAAATGAGAAAGAATAATTGCCCTTAACTTCCATTTAGTACGCTGAAAACATTTGGTGCAATGCAAGTGTAACCAATTCTTGAGCTGGTGACGGGTTACCCCCCTACAGGGATAAGGGACTTAAAACTGTGTCCACTCTGCAATTCTATCCATCCATACTTAACCGCGGGGCATGCAAAAAATTGTTAAGGCTTCGTAAAAACACTTTCTTTTTTTCTCAAACTTGGCCAGTACAAATACGCCAGCCAACCTGATCGATG